TGTATTATGAAATTCTTTATCAAAAGGGCTCGTTGAACGGTCGGCACAGATTATTCAGACAAATAGGAAAAAATAAACAGAAGCTGTCAACTGCTAGGAGTAATAAGTGTCATTTATTAACCTGCCACAGAAAACAGCCAAGCAAAAAACATGTACACTCTTAACACACAGATTGATATGAAATAACTTCTCACCGTGACACTGGCCGGGAAGCCGTTTTCGACCCAGGTAAAGAAGAATCACATCAAAAATGGTGCATGGCATCAGCGCGCGGCTGATCCACACCGGACTTCCAAAGATTAAGTTGCCTGTCACACTTCCTTTATACTTTTCTTCCCTGACCGGATCGCGTGAGAGCATTCAAAACAAGTTTGATGGTTACCAGAACAACGGATCTAATTAAACCATCATCAAAAGCGATGGCTCATCCTTCCAGTAAGGAACGCCTGTGACCGTAAAAGCGGGCCAAAGCTTCCAGGTCAAGAGCACTCCTAATGCTTATTAAAGCATTCCTAAAGAGCACCCCTCGTCCCTTCTGCAAACCATCAAAGAGTGTCTAAATATTATAAGCAACACACACACACAAAGTATATGTTTGAACAGGCATAAAGGCGACCCAACACCTCATAACATAATACAAAATACAATCCCTAATATGTGAATAACACGTTGTATAAGTGTGTTTAAATAAGTGTAATATAGGTCTAGATTGACATAAAAGCATTAAAATAATAATTTCTATATCATTCCACCCTTGCTTTTATGGCAATTTTAGACATTTAATTCTGAATAAGTAACACACACAATATATATATGTTTGAATAGGCATAAAGGCAACTTCACACCTTATAAAACATTTTTTATATCACTGGGCCTCCATAACACCTCAGCAGTGCCACAGGCTGATTGCCTCCATGCCACGCTGCATTGAAGCAGTCATTCATGCAAAAGGATTCCTGACCAAGTATTGAGTGCATAACTGAACATGATTATTTGAAGGTTGGTGTTTTTTGTATTAAAAACACTTGTCTTTCATTGGTGGGATGAAATATGCTAATTTTTTGGGACAGGCATTTTGGGTTTTCATGAGCTGCATGCCATAATCATCAGTATTAAAACAATTAAAGACCTGAAATATTTCAGTTGGTGTGCAATGAATCTGAAATATATGAAAGTTTCATTTTTATCATTACATTATGGAAAATGACCTTTATCACAATATGCTAATTTTTTGAGAAGGACCTGTACATCTCCTCCTTCATGTCTCTGCGTGAGTGCAGCTACAGCGTGCGCTCTCAGGACATTATTACCTGCAGTGTTCCCTCAGTGAGGACTGAACTAGGCAAAAGGGCCTTCTCCTACTCCGCTCCCATTTCCTGGAATATCTTACAAAAAGATCTCGATCGTGACCTCTCCAAGTGGCTTTAAACATCCATTAAGTTCATGGCAAAAACCAACACAGACATGTTCCTGTTTTTAGTTTTCTACATAGTTTTACAAAATTTCTTCCACTTTTCATTTTAAATGCTTGTTTATGATTGTCTACAGTTGTCTGTGTTCTTTAAAATCAGTTCTCTCTTGTAAATGAGTCCTCGAGGCTCATTGAGACTAACTTGTATAAATAAAGGTTGACTTGAATATTATGCAAGGTCATTGGACTTTGTCCAAACGTCAATTGTACGATGGTACAGGCAAGAGAGAACACATAACTCCAATTCTGGCCTCCCTGCACTGGCTCCTGTTCACTTTCAAATTCATTTTAAAATACTTCTGAACAGTTCTGCCCCCTCTTTTCTCGCTGATCTGCTGCAGCCATATGTCCCACAGTGCTCTCTGAGGGCAGCAGACCAGATGCTTTTATTGGTTCCAGGCACTGGTTTTAAGCTCGGAGGTGACAAAGGTTGCAGGTCCAAAACTGTGGAATGAGTTACCACTGCATGTCAGGCAGGTTCAGTCTCTCACTGTTTTTAATGCTTATTTAAAAAGGAACACGTATTCCATGGCTTTTGACACAGTGAGTTGATTTTAACTTGTCTATGTTCTATAAAGTTAGTCATTTAGTTCTTATCTTTATCTATTTACATAGATCTATGTATTTTTTGTTGTGTCCTTTGCTTGTTTGTTTCTGTTGTACAGCACTTTGGTTGGTCTTGTTGCTCTTTTTAAGTGCTTTATAAATGCAGTGGTATGGGAAACGTCATGTTGACCCCTGCAGTCTTTAAGTTGTGTTTATGTTTGGTACATTATTAAAATTCATGCATGATAAAAATATTTCTGTATTTAAATAGCCCTTGCATAAAAATAAGATATTCACCCCAGACTCATCCATTCATGCCAAGAAGAGCAGCCGTGTTTGGAAAAGCTGACTCACAGGAGCAGAAATGAGGAGGCTCAAAAATAAACAAGTGACGCTCTGATCTGCTCTGTGGGTTCTTCCTGCCTAGTTCTTGGCTGTCCTGACCTCACCCTTTGTTTTGTTCTAATTTGTTGTAGTTTTCTTTTTTGTTTCTGGTTTCAGCTCTGCTAGAGTTCAACCAGTCTGTGCTTGTGAGCAGGAAGGATCCAGAGTCGAGGAAAAGGGCCGTGACGGAGCTCATCGGGAGGCTGACCTCCAAAGGCTACTGGCCTCAGGTAGGAAGGTCCAATAAAACCAATCAGTTCCCAGGAGATCCAACGATCCATGTGAGAGCAGGAAGCAAAATGAGAATGATGCCTGCATCAGGGGTTCTCAAAGTTATTGGGTTCAGGGACTCCTTACAGGGTAGAAAAAGTTTCAGGGACCCCCTCATAACCCTCATGTTTATTAAATAATTGTCTTCAATTTGTCTCTTTAATGCAATGGAAATATTTGTGCAACATAAATACTCAAGAGCTGTTCTTTAATAGTGTTAATACAATTTTTATACTTTTAAACATGGGCTATTTTTCATTCAAGACATACTTGATTAACAAAACTTTTAATTTCAACTTCCAAAAGTGACAGTTTTTAGAAAATTAAACCTCTTTAAAACTTTACCTATTCACATAATGAACATAATAAATGTATTGTCACGTCTTCATATTATTACAGAAAAACAGAAGCGGAACAGCAGTAGTCACACCAAGTAACACCAATCGATGCTAGAATAGCTGGTGGGAGGCGGTGGGGTTGCAGTGGGGGCTCTGGAGGTCATCCCCCAGAAAATTTTGAATAAAATGGATCCAATTTCTTGTGTTTTTGTGTATTTTAACAGGTTGTTAAACATCTACGTGGTTGTATTAAAAATATATATCTATATTTTTGTTTTTGTGGACCACCAAGCACTGACTTACAGACCCCCAGGTGTCCAGGGACCCCACTTTGAGAACTACTGACCTACATGAACAAACATATTTAAACTAGGCACTTGAATTTTATTTTATTTTAAATGTTTTTGCACGTGTCTGACTCAAAGAAATCACTGAATGTATGTACGTCTAATTAACCTTTGGAGTCAAACCCAATCAAGATGGCTGCCACAGCTAATTTGCCTTATCAAACAAAAATATCTGCTTACAGCGTTTCTCCTACCATTATACAAGCAGGGCGCCACGCCCTGTCAACAGAACAGAGCACCCTGCCTGCTGAACTGAACCCCCCTCGCCCGACGGCTGCCGTCACTAACGTAGCACTAAGCTAGCAGCGCAACAAATGGACTATGCACTCGCTAGAAAGCTAGCGGAGCTAAAAAGCTGTTTTGCTGAGCTGTCTCGCCACCCCACCCCCACTGGTTGACCTTGTTTTATATGGCACCTTGATTTATTGTTTTATTACACGACTCTGATTTTAATTGAATTTTATTGTAGTTTGTCTGTATTTCATGTTTGTCTAAAACAGGTCTCTCTTGTAAATGAGTCCTCGTGGCTCACTGAGACGAACCCGTTTAAAAAAAGCTTGAATGAATTAGATTGTTTTCTTTGGTAAACAAAGAGTAAAGGCAACGTTCTCCAGTGCTCAGGGTACCAGCAGGCGCTTTCACTCAAACACCGGCTGTCGTCTTTTCATCCAGATGCTGATGTTTCCTGAGGGGACCACGACTAACGGCCGAGCTCTCATCCAGTTTAAACCTGGTAAATATCTGTTCAAGCTGCTCCGTCTGGTTTGATGTGATGTCTGGAGCCTGTTGTTTGTACAAGTCATGTGACTTGAAGGTGGACTACTCCCCTTTTTTCTTCTGAAGCATTTTTCTTTCCTTGCATTGTTTTTGTCCCGTCAGGTGCCTTCCTCGCTGGAGTCCCTGTTCAACCAGTCCTGTTGCGTTACCCAAACAAACTTGTGAGTAACACCGGTGGAGTGACGAGTTTAGCTGATTGTAGCGTTGCGGCTGGTTTTATTTATTCATGGGGGCACAGACGTGGATTATTTTAACATATCCTGATGCATGCTCAATTTATTTAACATAGTTGGCCAAGATAGTATTTGGTGTTGACAAGAAAGCACGATTAAAAAGTTTAGTGGTATCGTTCTTGCTGCTATATCAGATTAAATATTGAAATAATAAATGGCTACAGTAGGTATTGATATTTGTATTTATATGGAGCAGTAATTCATTTTTAGCTAGTTTTTGTCATCGATAAGGCAAATCTTTGGGTTGGAGCGTTTTCTATCAGTTCAAAGTAAAACAATGAGCGTTTCATAACTCAGTGGGTGTAAAACGTTTCCTAAATTAAAAGTAAAGTAGTCCCTCGTTTATCGCGGGGGATCCGTACCCTGAAGACCTGCGATAAGAGGAAAAACCGTGAAGTACCTTCCCACACTCTTGCGTTTCTAAACTCACTAAGCGATCACAGAATTTCATGATTTCCGCTCCCTGCCTCGTCTGCTCTCAGCCACCTGCAAGCGCTCTTGGCCACACCCACTTCTCCGCTCTGTACGGAGAACAGCTGATCAGCTGCAGCAGGAAGCATGTCCTGCAGTATGGGCAGGAGGTGCTCAACAGTTTTAAACAATTTATTTTAAATGAAAAAATTGCAGATTGTGCGGCTCATCCATTAGTCAGCCAATTGTGTCCAATCTTATTTTGAAAAACCGCGACAGAGTGAATCTGCGATAAACGAACTGCAAAGTGACGAGGGACTACAGTATTTCACACAAAAATCTCAGTGTATGCTTACATTTACCATCACAGATGAAGTGGAACTGGCTAAAAGTCAATACTTCAAAGTGTAATACTGCAAACTCCCAGGCAATTCTTAATGAGCCTCAGGGTGTGGGGGACGAGGAGTGCCTGGACTTTGGCAACCAGATGTTGATTTTACTTCAGAAATAAAAGACGGCAACCTCTTGAGACCTTTTTAACCTCGTCAGTGTTTTGAGTGCGTTCATGGGGAGAGACTCATTATTTATTTTTAGTCACAGTAATTGTACCGTAGTACATTAGACGTTATCTGAACAGGTGTGAGATCCACAAGATGTGGAGCTGAATACTCTTGAGTACCACTGGAACTTTGATGGGATTAAACTCTTATTATGCAGTAAATGATAAAAAAACAAAAAAACAACTGTCATATATTGATAGTTCTGGTATTTAAAAATAGACCCAAGTATTTACTTGCAGGACATTTTATGTTTCAAATGAGTCAAACAACAAAAATAAAACCAGGTAGAAATTTAGTTAAATGTTAAAACTAAATAAAACCTTCATGATGCACATGTCAGATTTTGTTTACTGCTTCTGTTGCTGCAGACTGCTGCAGTGGTTTTGGTAACATTTAGGAAACGCCATTTTAAACTAGAGGTGACATGAAGGTCGAGGGGAAAAAATGAATGATATCTCGTTTCTTTGGAAATGTGAGTTTTGTGGCTGCCCACGGTTTAGTCTGGTGGACAACACGATGAGCTGAAGCCATTAGCTGGATGCTCCACTCAGACCCTGCGGTACAGACCGGCCCACTTCAACCATATGACTCTTACCTAAACAAGATGCTCTGATGTTCTTTGTCAAAGTTGTTTTTGTAATCGGGGCATCTTAACTTCAGAGTCAGTAGCTGATGCAGTGGGGCTCAGATTCAGACACAGTGCCGCAAAAGTTGAAGTATTAGTCATATTTACATTTCATACAGAGGCTGGTTTCCTTATTAATCAGATCTGAAGTCGGATCCTTTGATGGGTCCAAGTTCAGCTGACTTCAATTTCTGTACCCATCCATCATCTTTACCCGCTAAATGAAAATTATCAACGTCATTTTCATTTATCAGCTTTATCGTTTCTTCGTGTCTCTCTCTTTCTACTGAAGACACTGGATGACAAAAAGCTCAACTCCGGTGCTCTTCACTGACCCCTCCCTTTCTCTTTTCCCTTTAAAATCCGTTTTAACTGTACAAAATTGCGTTTTTGAATTGTTAAAAGCATCTAAGCTGAGAAGCTAAGCGAACCTTGTGGAAAATACCTCCGTCTTGTCGAAGCTCCAAAATTCAAGGTTGAAACCTGTGCCTTCATGTAAAAATTTGTTTTTCTCTGCAAAAAGAAGCTGAGAACTTGTTTACTGATTCAACATTTTTCAGTCAGGTCATCTGGACAGTTTTTTTTTTTTTTTTTGTGCTGAAACGTTTCGCCTTCGATCCAGAAGGCTTCATCAGTCAAGGAAATGCACAACAAAACTGATTCTTCCCCCAACGGCTTACTCCAAAGTGGAACAAACCAGTTCTGCTTGTGATAAGATGGTCTCTTTGGTACGCCCTTCCTCCATTGCCAGCCCTCTTCACATCTGGTTTGATGCAATGTCTGGGAGCCTGTTGTTTGTACAAGTCATGTGGCTTGAAGTTGGACTACTCTCCTTTTTTCTTCTGAAGCATTTTTCTTTCCTTGCATTGTTTTTGCATTCTGTCCAGATGACCTGATTGAAAAATGTTGAATTGTATACCTGGATTATTGAGCATAGACTTTGTTGTTTACTGATTATTTATTAAAAGCTTTATGTGAAAATTGATATGCTAAAGAGTTCAAACCACACAGTGTGTCCGCAATTTTGAGAACTGAAGAGGGACAGCCCAGTCACGTCAAAGGGCTTCCCTCCCATTTTTCTTAGCCGCACGCTGCTCACTCTCTCACTATCCATCCTTCGGTCCAAACAGTCTTATACTGCCATCCGGTGGTCAAAAAAGGTACTACACTCAAATAAATTAACTAACATTTCTTCTTAAATTTGACAATAATTACTAATTATTGTCAAATTTCAAACAATATTATCGTTTATCGCAATAATTTCTGAACCAGTCGCCCAGCAAAATTTGTTATCGTGACAGGCCGACTGATAACGGTAAGATCTTCCTTCTATTCTACTTTTGGAAACTCTAGGAACCACAAGTAAACCTGCAGTCGGAGAGTGAAAAATTGTTAGAAAAATATGGAAGAAAAATATCTCGAATGAAAGATGGAGCTAGGTTGTTGAGAACTTTGTAGGTTAGAAGTAAGATTTTGAATTCTATTCTGGATTTGACAGGGAGCCAATGGAGAGAAACTAAAACTGGAGAGATATGATCTCTCCCACTAACTCCAGTTAAGACTCTGGCAGCAGCATTTTGGATCAACTGAAGACGTTTTAAAAATGTATTTGGACACCCAGATAATAAACAATTGCAATAGTCCAGTCTAGACGTGACGAATGCATGGACTAGTTTTTCCTGCATCATTTTTAGATAAGATGTTTCTAATTTTAGTGATATTACGCAGGTGGAAGAAGGCAGTTCTAGTAACGTTTTTAATGTGGGGGACAAAAGACATGTCCTGATCAAAAATAACACCAAGATTTTTAACATTAGAGCTGGAGGACAGATTAATGTCATCTAAGGAGGGAGAAAGACTGAAAAATTCATTCCTAAGGTGCTCAGGTCCGAAAACTAAAACCTCAGTCTTGTCTGTGTTCAACAGGAGAAAATTAAGGGTCATCCAAGGAAGGCCCCAGGCCAGGATTTGATCTAACCTTTTCGCCGAGAGGCAACAGCTCTACCAACTGATCCACCGTGCCGCCTTTATTTCTGTAGTAAAATCTAAATGTTGAACACTTTTGCCCAACAGCAACTCTTGGACTGAAGTGTGAAAAATAATGAGCTCTCAGACAAACGAGGTTTAACTGAGAGAAATATTCCCTGCTCCATAACAGCTTTTCTGTTTATTTATGGTAATGACATATAAAAACACACATACAAGAGAAGCTTTGTTCTGTTTGGGTCGGATGCATGCAGTCAGATTTTTGCATCAGTCATCTCTTCCTTGTCATTTGTCACCCCAGGTTTGTGTGCGCTCCTGCGTTTATTGTCCCCATCAGTGTTTGCATACTGTTCCTGTCCTGTTGTAGCACGGGAAGTGTTGGTGCCGTGATGTGTGCTGCGCTCTGATAAGCCTGCCTTCAACTTTATATGGTGCTCAGTGTTTGATCAGTGCGTTTATGATCCTCTCAGGATACTGTTCGTTGGACGTACAAAGGAACATCATGGTGAGTTCTTCAACTTTTTATCTGTCAAACTCATTTAATGTCCCAGCCTTATGACATCAAAACCGTCAGCGCTGGTAAAAAGTTAAAACTCTTAATATCTGTGTTTCAGTCATTAGAGAGATTAGATTGTCCTTGTACAGAATGTGATAAAATGTAAGCCTGAATGGTTCTGTGGGGTGGGAGCAGTCTGGGTTTTGTCCTAAAGTTTACAGGAAGTGCAGGGTGTTCTGATGACTAAAACTTCTGATAATCACTGGTTCTGTGGCACGCCTCACAAGAAGCTGATGTCCAGTATGGTTCATAAAAAATGTATTAATACCCTCAAACAAAATTCTTGTTCTGAACAGAGTTCACATCTCATTAAATAAAAATAAATAAATCACAAGTGATTTGATCACACTGAAACAAATGCACCATTCATGGACTTTTAAATACAAAGGTTTAAAATAAATGCTGATTAATCTGATTATGAAGTGAAATACCGTAATTGCAGATCTATAGAGCGCACTCTAGTATAAGGGGAAGTCTGAGGTTGTCATTGTATGTTCCCGTACAATGATGAAATTAGTTCACTGCATTTAACCCATCACACCTGAGAAACACCAGGTGGAGCAGTGGGCAGCTATGTAAGCACCCGGGGAGCTGTCGGGGATTGGTTGTCTTGCTCAGAGACACGACGACACGTGGGAATGGCTGGGAGTTGAACCGCAACTTTCTGGTCCCAAGTCGGCTGCTCTGCCTCTACCCCATCTCAGCCCCCAGTAAGCCACACACACAAGTTAAAAACAAAACAATTTTGTACGAGCTGTGCTGGTGTATAAGCTGCAGGTGTCCACGTTGTGACATGAGATATTTACACAGAAAGATATATTTTAAACTTTTAATTAAATATGTACCAGTAACGCACACAAATACATTCAGTACGGTTTAAAAAAATAATAATCTGAACGATGCCTTTAACATGACTGGTTTTAAAAAAAAAAAAAAAGTAGCTTACCAGGAAGTTGATTGATTGATCGCTATCTTCAAGCTGTCCTACTGCTCCACGGAGCAACAAGTGCTCTGTGAGACTCTCACGCTCTGCGCCCCCCTTCAAGGGAAAGGGGGATCCCCCCCCCCCCCCCCACCTGTTCTTCCCTCCCTGTTTCATTGGTTTAACCAATTAAATTATGGAACAGGTCATAGTCAGATTTATTTTTACTCTTTATTTATGCAGGTAGTCTCATTGAGTCAGGAGGACCCACCCCCAAGAGAGACGTGCGTTGGGCATCTGTGAGCGCCCGGGTGTGACGAGTCTAAATGTTTTGGCAGCATGAAGCTCGTTGGCCCATCAAACAAAAAAATCCATAAATTATCCACAGCGTTGTGTAAGCCGTGGTGTTCAAAGCCTGTGGAAAAATGTAGCGGTATATAGTCCGGAAATTACGGTAGTTTAATATTTCGGTTCACCTGCTTCGTTTTCCTCTAAACTCACAACTCTTTTCATAATGAAGTGTTTTTAAAGGGAAACCAGATATTTTCAACTGGAGTTATGAACAAATCCACGCTACGTCACCCCCTCCATCAGTGGTTTCTAGTCTTCAGCTGCCGTACTGACGTGATCATGAATACAAGTAGTGAATAACTTGCAGCGTGTTTTTACTGCACAGGAGGACACGAGGCCTGATGAGAAGTTTTATAGATGTAAAAAGGCGTCGACTGTTTTAAGTAAAAGGAGGGTTTGTGCTTAAAGGGGAAATATGAGTAACAGGAGGAAAAAAAAAAAAGTCAATCCTGTTCTTCATCAGGGTCATTGTCTACGGTGGTGCACACCTGTTCTCTGTTTCACTAGTGAGCAGATTGTGTAAAAATATAAAACTCTCCACCAATGAGCTCTAAGGTCCATGAAAGGAAAGGACTTCACACTCGTCTTCTAGTGGGAAAGAAACGAAGGGGGGACATAAAAAAAATAAAAATTAACATGTGAAAAAGGCCAGTAAGTTTAAAATGTTTAAATAATTTTTATTTTATTAACACTTATCTCAAGTGATTCATCAAATTTAGTTTGAAGAACCACAGAAGCCCTCTGAGAGTCAGATGCTGTAATAATCTGATATGAACATTATAATCTCTGTCTTCTGTTTAATGATTTAAAGTTAACATTTCTAAATGTTGCTCTGGAGCAGCGGTTCACTTTAGTGTCTGACTCCACAGTGGCATACGTGTGACCCCAGCTGTCGCTGGTGAAAGTGTCCTGATGTTTAATGGGTCAACTCAGATTTTGATTTAATTTCTGGAAGTCCTCTCGAGACCCATCCATGGTGTTTTAGGACCTAATGTGGGGACTCAAAATGGACGTATCTGTATATTTTCAAATGGGTTTAAGATATTTGTATTGTTTTATTCGTAACTAACCAGTACTGACATTTAATGCACAAGAACTTTTTAAGTAATCGGAAGTTTCCTGCCTCGTGCACTATCCTGTGTGATTGTGTGATATCGTCTGTTATTCATCAGGAAAGAGGCCGTGTGGCACACCGCTTCCCAGCTTTACACCAACATGACGGTGGAGGTGAGCTCAGACGACTTCCTTCACTTCTGTTGGTGCCACGTTCACGTCGGCGTCACTAAGGAATGCATCGTGTGTGAAAATGATCACATTTAAAAAAAACAGGCCTTCATAAAAATCTGATTCTTTTTCTGTGGCTGCAGTTCCTGCCCGTTTACAACCCATCTGAGGAGGAGAAGATGGACCCCAACCTGTACGCCAACAACGTTCAGAAGCTCATGGCCAAGTAAGGGACCAGCAGATTCTGCTACTAATGAGCCAGAACTGCAGGAAATGTCAAACATGCTGATAACATGATGAATGATCAGCAGACACTCATCCTGAGATATAAACAGGAAGTGCTGATTATTATTATTTTGACTGCATCATGCTGTTAATTACTGAGCTTGGACTCATGATGATGTTTTTACAGATGATCGCCACTTGGTGTTGCAGTCGAGCCATCTTCATTAAACCACAACTTCATTTGCTTTGGCTTCAAACTCCATATTTTAACTTGAGCTGAGACGTGATTCATCGCTGTATGACAGTTTTGTTCAGTTTTATCCATGAAGTAAAAAGATGCAGTTAGTGTTGCCTTTTAAATTCAAAAGCTCAGCAGGTTTGTGTTATGGCTTAGAAGTCACGCGGATGTCTTTACGCTACCAATACATACCGGTAGTTGCTACGTTTCAACTGGAAGTGGAGGAAACGCCACTTTTCCACCATTTTAGTAGGCAAGCGCTAGAAAATGATGTCTTTCAGATAAACCAAAACAAAGTGTACTCTTGACCAACATGTAAGAGAAAGATGTATCTATAAAGTTGCTGCTGTTGTGAGTATGAGGTAGAGAAAGAACATCAGACACAGACAAGTTGCTCCTGATCTCTTATTATGACATAGTTGTTGATTTATTGGACACGATGAGTGCCTACACAACTTTCATAGCCTGAAATCCATGGACGCATACAATCAATGTTTTAACGACTTTGTAAAGGACGTACAAGGCTTAAATAAATAAAAAGATTAACATGCAATCTCCTCACAGAATGACCCCAGGCCCAACTCGGGGCTAGAACTCAGGACGGTCATGCTGTGAGACAACCATTTAATTTAATTTTAATTTAACCTTTTATTTAACCAGGTAAATCCCATTGAGATCAAATGGTAAATGTACTGTACTTGTATAATGCCTTTCTATCTAATCAAGATACTCAAAGCACTTTACAACACAATCTGTGCCTCATTTACTCATTCATACAGCTCTCTACTATTAATGTAAAATAATAATCAGTGCTTTATCACATTCATACACTGATGGGGGACACATCAGAGGCTATGAGGGGTTCAGTGTCTTGCCCAAGGACACTTCGACATGTGACTGCTGGTGGATTTGAACCCCCAACTCTTGCATTGGAGGACGACTGCTCTAACCACTCAGCCACAGCCGCCCCACAATTATTTACCACCTGCTGCTCCTTTGTGCAGCCCTTACTGCTGCAGGATAAACTTCCTGCTGCAGCTGATCAGCTGTTCTGCGTGCAGAGCTGAGAAGTGGGCGGGGCCAAGAACGCTTGCCGGTGGCAAAGAGCAGAGGAAGCAGGGAGCTGAAATCATGATATTCTGTGATCTTTTAGAGCATTTAGTTTAGAAACGGATCACATCTTTTTTTTTTCTTTCTTTTTTTTTTTGCAAGGGAGGCCTGGGCTTGGGTGCAGCCTAACTTATGTTTTTGGTCTGTGGGAGGAAACCAGAGTACCTGGAGAAAACCCACACAAGCGCAAGAAGAACATGCAAACTCCACACAAAGACCTCAAGTCCAACCGAGGATTGAACCCAGGACCTTCTTGCTGTGAGGCAACAGTGCTAACCACTGAGCCATTGTGATGCCTATAACACTTTAAAACTGACGCGTCTTTTTTTTTTAGGACATTTTGAGGTCTGCCGATGCAACTATGCTCAAAATTACGATGTTTCAATTCAGTTTATTTAATTTAATTAGCACAAAATTACAGCAAAGTTGTCTCAGGGCACTTTACAGAGACATTCACATACATAGAAAAGCCGATTAGTAAAATTCTCTAAGGAAGGAAGCTGGCAGACTCGTTGAATCTTGGCTTCGTTGCAGTCTCCCATCTTGATCAAGCACAGTGGCAACAGAGGAAAGGAAAAACTCCCTTTTAAAAGGAAGAAACCTCCAGCAGAACCAGGCTCAGGACAAGCGGCCATCTGCTTTGACCGGCTGGTTTGATATGTAAGAATGTCTCTATGTGGGCAGAGCGAGTGTTTACAGTGTGGAGTTTAGCACGAAGTATAACTGAGCTAACTACAGAAGAGGCGTTCTAAATCATGAACGGAGCAGTTCCAGCACACATACAGTTAACAAAATGATTAATATACTTTTTTTTTTGTTGTTGTTGTTTACTGAATAAGAGATCAGAGCAGATACTTGACGTTAAAGGCTGATCCTTGCAGTTGATGTTTCCAAGCCAAACTCTCCAATGTCCGTTTGACTTCCTTCTCATTTTCTCATTTTTGGAAATTTAGTTAAAACAGCGCTTTGCCGAACCATCTTCCCAGTTGGAACATCCTCTAACCCATCATGACACAACCATTGTGATGCATGTAAAAAATACTCCTTGATGGTCAAACTCTACCATACCAGTTTATTTATAGAGCACTTACAACAGCGACAAAGCCAACCAAAGTGCTGTACAGACAGAACAACAGGTAACGCACAAGGCAAAATACAAAAGGAGGTAAATCAGAATATAGACATAAAAACGATGCAGATAATGACGACTAACCAGTGTGGAGCATACAGGATCAAAACACAGATCATCTGGTGTTGAAAGCTACTGAATAGTAGTGAGTTTTTAAACGGAATTTGAAAACCGAGAGGGAGGGGGCCTGTCTGACAAGCAGAGGCAACTCGTTCCAAAGTCTTGGTCCTGCTACAGTGAAGGCCCTGTCACCTCTGCGCTTAAGACGAGTTCCTGGAACTGTGAGGAGCAACTGGTCCGCTGACCTCCATGACAGCAGCTGTTGTGATCCTACAAAAATGGTGGCTTGTGACGAAATGCTGGATGTTGCATCACATGACGACTATGTACTAACAACCCAGCACTGCTTCAAGAAACGTATCACCCACCAACTTTACTGCCAGAGTTTTAAGAAACTACGGAGCGTTTGGTCAACCCTTGAACATAAAGTTGCATGTGAATCTATCTCATGCACCTCTGCAACATTTCACACAATCGATGAGCTCTCTGAGTCCGTGTTGGGAATGACTCGGCTTGTTCAGTATCTGTAAATCTGCACAAGCTTGGACCATTTGTTGTTGAATAAGGTCAGTTGTCTGTGGCAGCCATCTTGAACTGAGCTAACTCTAAATGTTAATCTGTAGTAGATGTTGGCCATTAAATATTTAAAATGCGTGGTTCAGGAGAGAGCTTGGTAAAAACATGACTGTCAGGAGGAACATTGTCCTTTTGTCTCCACTGATGATTTACAGCCTCAGCTGAAGGACGGTTTCATCTGGAGTTGTTTCTCTGCCTAGACTAAACCAGTGGATCCTTTTGGTAATGGAGTTTTCTGTGTTTCAGAGCCCTAGGAGTCCCAGCTACAGATTACGTGATGGAGGGACGAGTTCCTGTCAGTAAAGTGGGGGGTCTGTCTCTGCCTCTGGAGTCTCCTGGCAGGGTGACTCTGTCACTGCTGCACAAGAGCAGGTGAGAAACGTGTCATCCTGAGGCTGTCGGCTAATGTTGTACATCTTTAAAGTACCTGTGACATGCATTTCCTACATGCACAAAAAGTGGAAGAAAACAAGAAATTCATCAGGATGCACATGATTTACCCATTTTCTCACACAACCGGCATTTTTTTTTTTTTTTTTTTTCTACTTGGCACAGCCAAAATGAAACAAAGTGACAACAAAGGGGAACTCCCTGGTCTCTGTTTAAACAAGTCTCATTCACAAGACGTCTGGACCGAGATGCAGACTGACTGTTCTGATCATCTCAGTCCATTCAGAAGGCACACCGAGGGGCTGAGGGGTCATAGTCAGCCTACCTCTGACACCTCTGTGTTGCCGAGCGAGGTAATGATGGAGCCGGGCAGACTGACATAAGAAGGAAAATGAAGAAGATCTGCGGAGCTGCGGCTCAGTACTATGATGAACTGCTAATAGTTGTGACCACCACTCTTGAGATTAAATAACGTAAAACAGATTTATTACCGGGGCAGCACGGTGGCGCAACTGGTAGAGCTGCTGCCTCTCAGCGAGCAGGTCCTTGGTTCAAACCCCGGTCCAGGGGCCTTTCTGGGTGGAGTTTGCATGTTCTCTCCGTGCATGCGTGGGTTTTCTCCGGGTACTCCGGTTTCCTCCCACAGTCCAAAAACATGCATGTTAGGCTGATTGGTAACTCTAAATTGTCCCTAGGTGTGAGTGAGAGAGTGAATGGTTGTTTGTCTCGTTTGTTTCTATGTGGCCCTGTGATGGACTTGCGACCCGTCCAGGGTGTACCCCGCCCCTCGCACAGTGATTGCTGGACATGGGCACCAGCGACCCCCGTGACCCAAAATGGAATAAGCGGGTAAAGAAAATGGATGGATGGAAGATTTATTACCGAGGGAATACTAATGACGCACAACTCTTTAGCTAGTTAAAAAAAAGTTCACCGCTAAGAGGCTCGTTAGTGAATCAATTCATCATAGTAAAATTAAGTAGGTAAACTTTATTTATATAGCACTTTTCATAGATACAATCACAAAGTGCTTTACAGAAATACAAAGTACAAGCTTAAAATAAAACAAACGATAACGGCTGATTAATAAAAACTGTAAGAACAGCTGATTAGTAAAAACGGTAGGAACAGCTGATTAGTAAAAACGGTAGGAACAGCTGATTAATAAAAACTAAGAACAGCTGATTAGTAAAAATGGTAGGAACAGCTGATTAGTAAAAACTAAGAACAGCTGATTAGTAAAAATGGTAGGAACAGCTGATTAATAAAAACTAAGAACAGCTGATTAGTAAAAACGGTACAAACAGCTGATTAGTAAAAATGGTAAGAAGAGCTATGAACAGTAAGAACAGTTGATAAAAACGGTAATTACAGCTGATTAAAAACAGTAAATAAAATATTTAACTAAAAGCTTGCCTGAATAAAAGTGTCTTAAGCTGCTTTTTAAAGGAATCCGTGGAGATGGCCACACAGAGACGTGGCAGAGCATTCCACAGCCTGGGGGCGATACGGCCTGAAAGGATGGGTCACCCCGAGTTTTAAACCATGTCTAGGGGACCTTTTTAGGAGGTTCAACGCTGAAGACCGAAGGGTGCAGGCTGGAGGATAAGGGATCAACATTTCAGTGATGTACTGGGGGTCTGTCCATTTAAAGCTCTAAAAGTCGAGACTAAAATCTTAGGGTGCATTCACACCAGCCCTGTTTAGTCCGCTGAATCAAACTCTAGCTCGTTTTCCTAGAAAGTCCGGTTTGTTTAGGGAGGTGTGAACTCGCCATCGAACTCTGTCACGGAACAAAAAGGTGAACTCTGGCCCGGGCTAAAACCTAGGTCTCGGTCCGGTAGAAGCGAAATCCAGCGCGGTTCGGTGCAGTGTGAATGTAAACAGACCGAGCCCCACTCCGCAGGGTAAACAAACACGCATTTCTCTGACCTTATATGGAGCCGTCAGCTGCCTTGTGTGAAAAACAATATTCTCCATGGTCTTCTGTCTCATCTTCTGCTCATGCTAAGTCCATTTTTGAAAAATGACAAAATATAACTCCTAAAACTGCTAAAACTTGATGCCACTTCGTTTTTATTTTTATTTACAGAAGAAGAAGAAGACGTGTCTTCAGAGGTTTTTGTGTCATTTCTTTCAGTAGTTCTTGGTGCAGCGCCACCACAGGCGAGCGGGGGAACAGGTTGGTTCAACAGGTTGACTCGACTGCACAGTGCAGTGTGAATGCAAACGCACCAGCTCAAATGTAAACAAAAGGTCATGAATATTGGTCCCGAACCGAACCGAGTCTACTGGACTATCTGGTGTGAAAACGACTTTAAAATTAATTCTAAATTCAACAGGCAGCCAATGAAGAGAAGATAAAACTGGTGTAATGTGAGACCTTCTATTAGCTCCTGTTAAAAACCTCGCAGCAGCGTTCTGGAACAACTGGAGACGAGCGACGGCAGGTTTGTTAAAACAAGTAAAAAGGTAATTGCAATAATCTAAACAAGAAGAATTAAAAACATGAATAATAATCTCCAGGTCAGACCTGGATAACATTGCCCTCAATTTAGAAATATTTCTCGGATGATAAAAGCAGTTTTTTACCAGAAGCTTTGAATGTTTTTCCAACAACCTAAAAGACATGAGGGAGACGTCCGACACACACTGAAGGCATCTCGCTCTACTTCAGCCCAGCAGAGTTCTGCTCCACGTCTCTCTTGGCTCCACTCAAAGCTCACATCTGAGCAGGGTGTGGTGGTTCATCTGTGAATTGGGACAGGTTAGAGGAAGCTGAAAGACGAACCACTGCGCGGCCATTTTGATGAACTGTCTTTTGAACATGCCTCATGCTCTGACTCTTCTTCATCTCTCTGGAAGTGACTCAAAATAATCTGAAGAAACATCTGCAGCAATGCTCCTTTTACATGCAGGCGTTGCCCTTTCTCATCACTTCCTGTTACTGTGCACACAAATAACATCTCGACAGTGTATTTATTTGCAATGTTTCAATAATGCATTCCTATTTCTCACAAAATTTGATGCCACAGATACTTAAACATGGTTCTCATTTCCCCCTCTTCTCTCTCGTCAGTCTGGGAGTGCATGAGGTCGAAGCGGCCTTGGGCAGAATGATTGACAGGTGTCAGTCAGGAGCTTCAGGGTTCAAAGCCAGCGCAGAGGAGCTCGCCTCTCTTCTCTCGTTGCCAGATAAACAAACGGCTGTCGACATCTGTGGCCTGTATTCCAAGGTGCCGTTGAGTTTGTTTTTTATCGAGTTACTTTATGTATTTACTTTGCAGAACAAACAGCTCCTTCCTCCTGGTCTTCATGGCTACTAATCATGTTCCCCAGCATTCTTCTTTTATCCTAATTCAAAATCAGAATAGTGATTAAAATATGCCCCTGAGATGAAGGATACTGAGAGCCTCCTTCAAAAGGTCAGTGTCAACTGTAGCGGATTTATTTTACATAAAATGGAATATAATTTATTTATTAGGAAAGAGAAAGAGTCATACCAACGTAACGCATCAAAACTCATTGTGGTAGTTGAGACAAAATTGGAAATGAAATGGCATTTTGGTTATAAATATTTACCTATGCTTGTAAAGAGACTTGGCAGTGATACCAGTTATAAAAATTTAGAATGCATTGTCAACGTTATAGTGGTTATTTTGACAGCAAAATGTTTTTTTATCAGAGAAAATACTATTTGTAAGGTTTTTGACAAGCACAGCTCATATGACTGTTTTAACGGGGCTGAGATGGTGTAGGGGCAGGGCAGCCGACTTGGGACCTGAAGGTCCTGGGTTCGATACCCGGTCATTGCACATGTCGTGGTGTCTCTGGGCAGGACACCTAATCCCAAATTGCTCCCTGGGCGCTTGCATAACTGCCCACTGCTCCACCTAGGTGTATCTCAGGTGTGATGGGTTAAATGCAGAGAACCAATTTCGTCTTTGTATGGGAACATACAATGATGACAACACATAGCACTTTAAAACTTTGGAGTGGGCTCCTGAAGAAATGTATTTTTTTGTTTTAATGAAGAGAGTAAGGGCTTATGTCATCACCTTACATCACAAAATAGATAGAGACCCTTCCCTTGTAGAATGACTGTGCAAAACACGGAGTAGGGTACTCTGGAAATGTCTTCAGTCCTCTGTTCTATTTTTATTTATTTAGTTGGTTTGTTTTCAAGCAGCCAGACTTTCTACCTGACTGACTGATTGTTCATCAGGTTGGACAGCTGTATCTGTAGGATGGTGAGGAGCAGCAGGGAACTGTTTTGGCACCAAAGTGTGTACAGCACATGTCAAATCCTGCCACATGCACAAATACTCTGATACAGCTTCTGTGGTGGAATGGACTGGATCAGGAATACAGGGACCTTGTGATGCCTTCAGGGACTGATGCATTAGGGCTTATCAAGTTCAAGTCAATTTTATTGTCGTTTCCATCACGTGTGGTACCTTAGGTGGAATGAAATTATGTACACAGGGTTCCAGTTACATCCAACAATAGCAAAATTCAAAGTAGCAGTATACAAGGATCTAAGATCTACGCTAAATGAACACCAAACGGTACGCTAAAATGTCTAAGATATACGCTAAACGCTAATAATGTAAAACAATATGGCGTAACAGCCCGGACATGAGTCTGTGGTGAGCAGATGGGTATGAATGAATACAGCAGCATGCAAGAAGCCATACAGCATTCTTTCAATCCTAACATAATTAAAACCAAAGAGATGGGTTTCTGCAGGCCATGGTGTCAAATCTACCAGTCTCCAAACACCTGGGGTTCACTCTGGATGACGAGCTGGTCTGGACCCTGACTTTATACCAAGGACAAGTCACTTTCACTAAAAAGATTTTAGCACCAACAAGGAGATTCCCAAAAAGCTGTTAAAACTTGTCTGATGATCATCTGAAGGACGATTCAGCTCCATCTTCAGGTCTTTGTTTTGTTTTCTCTGCATGTTCTTCTGTAAAGAGCCTAAAGGTCTGACTCTTTCATTTAGCATAATATGCTGTCCTGATCAGACTGAACACAAACTGAGTAGAATATAACCAAAGAAAAACTTTAAAAGAAAATCAAAGTTTGTAAAACTATTGGATTGAGATCACCACCTTCAAGCCTGGCGGAATGGAAACAAAATCCAAAGAAAGGAGCAGTGGTCTAAAACTTTTGCACAGTGCTGAATGTTTGTGTGAAGCAGCTTTTTGGATTTTTAACAGCTGATTAAAATGAAAACCTCTAAGAACATCTTTACTGAAATAGGCCTTTCTGGGATTAGATATTTCCTGATTATTAGCTTCAATCTGAGATTATTTTCCACAAATTAACAATAAAATACCCAATTACTGCTGGAGATGTTCCAGAATCAGCTGTTCTTGTCTTAACGAGCTGCAGGTTTACACTTCTTATTGTTTACACTCGTTCTGGGTCAAAGAGCAGACAAATCTTTCAGATCTGGTTTTCTTTTTGTAAAACATCTGTTCAGCCTCTGTGTCTGGAGAAGGGGATCGCGTTGATCAGCATGTTTTGTAAAACTGATGGTTGAATGAGGGTCCAGATGAAGCCTCTGAGCAGACGTGGTGTTCTTCTGTTTCCAGGATGAGACTGTGGACCTCCGACAGGTTTACTTTAGTGTTGCACCCGTCGCTGGATTCACCAGCTTCAAGTCTTTACTTCACTCTGCTTTTACTGTAAGTTGTTGTTTGAGTCTCATTTGTCCAATCTTTCTTTTTTTACTCAAACTGCGGTTTTATAAAAGTATTTTGAACGTTTCACTCTGAACTTTCAGCTGTTTGACAAAGAGGGCCGAGGAAGTCTGGGTGCAGAGGAGCTCTCCGACCTCATGGGGGCGCTGCTCGGTGTTCCTCAGTACAACACTGCTGCGCTGTACGCTGAGGCCTCCAGTCAGGGTCTGCTCACTGAAGGTCGGCTTCTGCACTTTTAAGCACTTTGATAACAGTTTATCTGTTTTAAATTGTGCTCTACAAATAAAGATGACTTGACTTGACTTGACTTCTGAAACTGTTTATAGATCTCTTTGGTACGATGTTTGAGTGGAGCTCGAGCAGAGAATGATTCAGCACCTGGTCTTGTATTGTGTCCAGATACTTGCATTTAGCTTTGTGTAATACACACTGCGGGCTGCGTGATACACACTGCGGGCTGCGTGATACACACTG